CATCAAACACCACAGTTGCACATTACATCTATTAGTGTGATGTCCTAATGTTTAGATCCCCACTGCATTTTAAAGTACGCATTTTTAAAAAACGCACAGAATGATACACTGCTTTGTACATTTTGTTGTGTGTAAATTTTACCTTAAAAATGACCAAAATCAAATATTGAATTCTGGTTAAATGATACGTATGCAGAAGCATTTAGGGGTAAAGTGTAGCAGTGTCTGCCACTTGCTTTGAAATGTATTAAAAATGGGTTGACAGTGGGGTACCTGGGTGGCTCAGTCAGTTAAGGGTCTGACTTCAGCTCAGGCCATGATTTCAGGGTCCTTGGGTTGAGCCCCGCGTCAGGCTCCCCACTCAGCAGAGAGTCTGCTTGTCCCTCTCCCTCTGCCTGCCCCCTGCTCGTGCTCACTCTCTCTCTCTCAAATAAATAAATAATGTCTTTTTAAAAAATGGGTTGACAGAGACAGACGGATAGATGTGTGATAAAGCAGAACCAGTCAGATGCTAATTGTAGGATCTAGGTAGTGGGTATTATGGATGTTACTGTATAACTCTTTCAACTTTTCTATATTCAAAGTGCTTTTTTCACAATAAAATATTGGGAGAAAAGTTCAATGAGTGTAGGGACCATGAGTGTATTACATGAAAAGAATTATTCTATGTATATTATATTTTATATTATTAATCATAATGCTCTATGATTTGCTTCTGTTTTAATTGCTATTGTGTCATGAATATCTTTCCATGATGATAGACAGGCAGACAGACAAAGATAAGAGAGACCTCATTCTTTTGAATATATCATGGATATACCATGAGATATTTAACTTTCATCTTATTGATGAACATTTGAATGGTTTTCACTCTTTTTCTATTACCAATCATCTTCCATGACACATCTTTTGCATAGACTTTTGTGCTGCTGGATTTGAACTTCTTTATGTTAGATCGATGTCCACCACAGCATACACCTGCCCTCCTCTTGCTCCCCACTCCATTAGCACAGGACCTTCCATAGGCAAGAGTGAGGAATATCAAAGAATAAGAGACTCCATTCAAACTTCTCGGCATAACTTTTCAAAATTATTTGGGTCATATAAATCACAAGCGCATCTGAAGTCTCAGAAGGCAGGCAATACTAGCACTAATTAAATGTTTATTGTGGCAGGATTTTTGGATTAGAAGATTCAGGTTTATGATGTAGAGAGTTGTATTTGTGCTCTGTACATACTTCATCAGGTACTTACTGCGTTTACCTTATAAGGTGCACTTATGCAATCAATTGGGGCAGTACGTAGTTGCCCAATTTATATATTTGGAGCATAATTCTATCTCCAGTAATCTCTTGAAAGCCACAGAGTTTGAATTCTTGAAAAGTGTAATGGTTGGTAAAGCTGAAGACAAAGATTCAAGGGATCGTTAAAAATAGAGAGTAAAACTCATCGTAAGAAAAAAAAAAATTTAACTCTGGATGGGGACCAGTGTTAACCAGACTTAACTGTGGTGATCATTTCACAATATATACAAATATTGAATCCTTACATTGTATATCTGGAATTAATGTTATATGGCAGTTAGACCTCAGTAAGAATGAATGAATGCATAAAAAAATAGAGCACAAAGGATAAAACTAGAAAAACAAACACTAAATTATAAATGAGCAATACATTTGAATGCTCCATTACAAAAGTTCTAGAAGGCATCGATCTGTAAGTCAGCCAGACATGCCAAGAGCCCCTGCTCTGGCAAGATAACACTTCCGGGTAAACACTCCCACCTGTTCAGGAAAGTAAACTCTTCAAATTGTCCTTCATTTCAGAGTTTTTGAAATGGGGCTGACTTGTTTGGAACTCAACGGCCTTCATGCCTACTTCGCCGTGTTTTATCCCCACAGGTCTTAGCAAAAGGCATGTGTCACTCCCCAGTCGCCCCACAAACGATGACGGTGCTTAAGAGCACATTTTTGGGGGCCAGATCTGATCCAGCGGACCTGGGGGAGGAGAGGGGTGAACACATCACCCCAAAGACCAATCTCTCCCCTCTTTGCAAGGAGGAGGGCCACTACCGTGCTGTGGTGCGCTGTTGAAGCGGATCGATCTCTATCCCTAGCAAGACTGCAGGATGGTCAAAGCAGGCATGCAAATACAAAAACCACATTAATTTAAAACCACAGTGGGCAACACCGGAGTTGCAAAGGATTACGCTCTGTTTTAAAGGATTATCAAGGTTTTTGGTGATTCTGTCTGGCCCTCATGACATACTGTTGTTCTCATCTGTGATTTGTTTGAGGCCACATCCCCAGCCTGGAATAGAAATCTCAATTATTGTAATGGTTTCCATGGAAACAGACGATCTATTTGCTCTCATTTCCTCACTGTTCCCTGATGACCCATTCTCTCACTTCTCCACCCTCCTCCCGATCCTGATCCTTTCCATAGGACCCTTCTGGCACTTTCATCCCTCAATCAAAAACTCTCCAACCTACATTGTTAAGTGACTGGAAAGGTGCAGCACTCTGTGTAGAGGATGCGAACCCTTGAGGTGACAAGGGCAAGAGTAAAAATGCATATTTATGTGTGTTAAATTAGCACATGGGAACCAGAAATATGCAAATTAAATGAACAGAATGGTTGCCTCTGGAGCACAGCTGCGGTGACCAGGCACAGAAAGGTGTGGATTTGGGTGGGAGCAGATGTCTCAATGTTTATCCTTTCAATATAATTCTAATTACAAACCACATGAATATGTCACTTATTAAAAATATAATTTAATTTCTACAAACTCCCCAACAGGCCCATATAATTAGAACCCCTTCTCCCTTTAGGCCATGTCCGTCCTTATCACAGCAACCCACCCATGTTTGGACTCTAAATGCCCCCGGTCTTCCTAGCACTTTAAATCTCTTGACCTCACCCGTTTGTTTTCTTCCTCCCTCGGCTTCTAGACTCCTTCTTTCGCACCCGAGGTTAGGGCCCTCTTCCTTCCCCGACTTTCTTTCCAGCCTGGTCTAGATGCCATTTTTATTCATTTATCCAATACACTCTTACTGATCACCCACTACAAGGTTCTGTTGGATCTGCAGTGGGCAACTCTCTTCCCAGAATCCTTGACTCCCTATTAACCTTCTGGCTCACCAATCCTGCTAATCTCCCCCGCAGCTCAAACCTGCCACCCACTTCCCCATGTCCACACCCAGCTGCTCAAAGGTGCTGGCAAAAATCACACAGAGGCATGGACCACTTCTATCACCGACTTTAGAGATCTTCTCAGTAATCTTGCTGTGTATTCCTGCTGTCATTCCCATTTCATGCCCAAGCTTTGCAAACTCAGGGCCATCATTCAGATCCCTTATTCCTTCTCAGCAGATGACCTTGTGACCCACAGACAGAGAAAATCGTGCATTCTGCCCAGGCCCTGAATGGATGCAATCCATAGGCATTGGAAGTACCGTGGTGAATAGGACAGAGAAGGTCCCTCTCTTGCGGGGCTCAGTTCTTAGAAGAGAGACAAACCAAAAAACAAAACAGATACCATCTGGTGATGGCTGCTAGGAGAGAGCAGAATATAATGGGGAATGAATGCATGGCTGAGGAGGTGGTTAGGGAAGACTTCTCAGAAGAGGTGTTGTCTAGGTTGTGATGGGAATTACAGGAAAGAGCCAGCCATGCAAAGAATAAAGGAAATAGCATCACAGAAGCTCTAAGAGAGAAAGGAGATTTGTATGTTTCAAAAACCCAAGGACTACCCTGGCCAGAACACTGTGGGTGACAGGGGCAAGAAAAAGAAAGTCACCGGGCAGAGAACCCGGATCAGATTGTAAAGAGCAACGTAAGCCAAGAATGTAGTATGAAATTTATTTGATGTGATGGGAAGTCATCGGGGAGTTTTAATCAGGGGAGTGCCTTGACCTAATGGAACTTTGACAAAATGACTCGCGCTGCTAAATGGAAGCGTATTGATTACAGGTAACAAGAGTGAAAGCAGGGAAGCCAGTTAGGAAATTCTGCAGGAGCCCAGGGGGTATGTGGGTTTAGATTAGGGCTGCGTTTGTGATGATAGAAGGAAGTCAGTAAATGCGTGGCCTGCTTTGGCGAAGGATCTGTTAGGATTCGTGAATGGGTTTCACACGACTAGGGGAGGAGCCAGGTAAGAACAACTCCAGGAAAAGTCCCAGACTGGGGGCTTGGGCTACAGAGATGGAGAAGAAATTTTTATTTTTTGTACACTTGAGTTCATGGTATGAAATTTATATGAGACATATTTGTGGCACACCAAGGGACTAAAAGACTCAAAACAACACTAAACAACTCAGGAATACTTATAACACAATCTCGACTTCAGTAAAACGGTGTCTCCTAGTATCTATAAAAGCATCCAGAACCAGTCTACGAGTCCCCGGGTCATCCTTCAAATCCGTTACTGTCTGAAAGGAATGGTTTCCATTCTTGGCTGCAAAAGTGATCTTTTCCAAAAGGCACATCGGATCGTGTCACTTCTCAGCTCAAAAACTTTCAATGGCTCCCCACTGCACAGCGGATAAAATCCGAACTTTTCATCACAGCTCACAAGGCTTTGCAGGATCAGGCCCCTGCGCCCATCTCTACAATCTCACGTCCTACAACTTCGCCATGCTCATGACATTTTGGCCCCAACACCCTCTGATGGTCCCTAGAAGGTACCAAGCCATTCTCTACCCTAGGAACTCGGCACTTGCTATTCTCTCTGCTGGCAACATTCATTCCTAGCTCTTGGCATGGATAGCTAGTTTAGGGTTCACCTCCTCTGATGGTCTAAGTGGATCTCCTCTTGATTTGTTTGTGGCCCACAGCACACTATTCATTTTCTTCACAGTTTTCGTTACAAACTGTAGGGTAGTGTCTGTTTCCTTTTTATTATCTCCCTCACTGGAATGTAGGCCCCATACGAACAGCAAATGTGCCTGCCTTGTTACCTGTCGTTCTGGAGTGGGTGCAGCCCCCACACCATACCGTACCTTGCCAAAGCTTCCTTTCCCGAGCACCATCAGGAAGTTAAAATCGGTCAGTTTCATTCGGTCTCTGTTCCCATTGTTGTCAAGTTTGGATATGGTGTTGGTCGTCTTTTCTTCTGGAGCCTTGGTCCCCTGGCTGATCTTGGCCCTCTGGCAGAGGAAGCACACAGAAAACATCATTAGGGTTTGAGGACGCCCTTGGAAGAAGCCACAGGAACCTGCCGTGAGCTGTGGTTCCTGCAGGTCGCCCCGTCCCCTGGCCTGCATCTCAATGAAAAGCATTGCCAACATCTGCTCTGCAAGCCCGAAACCTGGGAGCCACCCTTGATACCCCTGTTTCTCTTTTATCCATCATGCCTCAGCCACCATGGGGAAGAGTCCTTTCTTCCTCCTCGCTGTCTCTAGAATTCACCTGCCTTCCATCTTTACCACCACCTGTCATGTTGCACCTAGACAGCCCACCTTGGTTCCCGCCTCACTGGGCTTTGCATGCAACCAGAGTGAGCTTCCACTTCTTCATACCCAACCAAGTCACCACCTGCTTAAAATGCTTCAGTTGTGACTCCTTAGGTTTGGGCTAAAGCCCTTGGTGCTTTCACTGGTCTACACGGCCCAGTATGACCAGGTTCTCCAACCTCCTCACTTCTTGGACCTTTCCCTGTAATTCAGATTCGTTCTCCTTTCACATCCCACCTCAGGGCCTTTGCACCTGCTCTTGCTGCTTTCGGGATAGCTATTGTCTCCTCCTTGCCAACCGAGTTCCCCTTGCTTCACATTTTCACTTCCCCAGGGGAGCCTTCCTTGATTGTCTGTCTGAATTAAGTGTCCCTATTTGTTTCCTTCATCAGTCTCACTTCCCATTTATACTGGATGGTAACTGTTCCCTTGTTCCCCCAACACACTGGAAGCTCCGTGAAGGTGCAGACTCTATCTCCGCAACTTCCCTAACAACTAACACGGCTTCCTGCCACGTGGATAAGTGGATGGGTGAGGCCCATGTCGGTCCTCAGTGCAGTGGGGCAGGGTCTCGCTGCTGTGAGCAGCAGAACAGCAACTCAGAATGGTAGCAGATTCCCTGCAATGATGAGATTAGAGGAGGTGAGCAGTGAAACCTGCAGCCGCCAGGAAGGACTTTGTTCCTGGAGTCGCCTCTAGGGCTAGAATCCTGACTCTGGTATGGATAAGTGTTGTAATCCTGAGGGAGTCATCAGCTCAGGACACTCCTCCACCCAGACATCCCAAGCTTCAGCATCTCTCTCAGAGAAAAGGCCAAAGGCCAAAGATGTCCCGGTCCCTCTGTACCTTCTCTGATTTTGATCTCTTCTCCTTGCATTGCCCTGGCCTCATTGCTGTTCTCTGAAAGCACCAAACACACCCTTGCCCCTGAGCCTTTGCACTTGCTGTCCCCTGTGCCTGGAGTTCTTTCCCAGAGCTTCCTCACTTCGGGTAAGACGGCCTTTCTTGGGGCGCCTGGGTGGCTCATTCGGTTAAGCGTCAGATTGCTTTCAGCTCAGGTCATGATCTCAGGGTCGTGGGATCGTGCCCCGCATCGGGCTCTGCACTGAGCTTGTCCCTCTCCCTCTGCTCCTCTCCCTGCTCTTTCTCAAATACATAAAATCTTGGAAAAAAAAAAAAAAGACAGCCTTTCCCAACACCAATATGCAGAAGCTCTAGCAATCCTCATTCCCCTAACTTATTTTTCTTCATCTCTTATCACAATCCTACAAACCCAGGATTAACTTATTTCTCAATTCCTTGTCTTTGTCCTCACACTAGAACATAAGCTCCATGAGGTCAAGGATTTTGTCTCTTATTCTCCTTTCCCTGGTGTCTAGAGCGGTACCCAGCACAGAGTAGGCACTTACTTGTTTTTGGTGAATGAACATTTCTAAACCTGTTCAAGCAAATGGAGATCAGGACATGAGAGAACGTATCTCGGAGTTCTTAGCACTATTCCTAGCACATAGTAGGTGCTCAATGAATGGCAGCTATTATAGTTGTCTTATTATTCAGTTGTCTTTTTTATTTTTAAAGGATTTTACTTATTTATTCCAGAGAGAGAGAAAGGTACGGGGAGGAGCAGAGGGAGAGGGAGAAGTGGACTCCACGCTAAGCATGGAGCCCAACACGGGGCTCAATTTCAGGTCCCCGAGATCATGACCTGAGCCAAAATCAAGAGTCGGACACTCTACCAACTGAGCCACCCAGCTGCCCCTATTCAGTTGTCTTTTAAAGACAGGGAGGAGACATTTTTTCGGGGTTTTGAATATTGGGAAAGAGTCATTCATTCAAAAAATATTCATGGAGTACCTGCTACGTGCCAGGTGATGCTCTAGATGCCAGGGATCAATCAGGGAGAAAAACAAGCTTGGATGTTCAAAGAATCTACACCACAGCAGGGACTGGGGCCCCCACCCTGTGTCAAGGATATTCTGAAGTTCTCCAGGTAAACAACTTGATGTCAGCAGCAGAAACAGCATTAATGGAGCAGAAAGCCAGACACACTTGAACAAGCAAACACTGTTTAGTCTGGCTGGAGCACAGAGTATAAGGTAGATGTGGCATGGGATGCAGCCCAAAGGCGAGAAGGACCAGGTAAACTGTCTTAAGAGGTCAGAGCTGATTCTGAGAGTGAAAGGCTTTAGGGTGTGGTCTCTGGGTGTCAAAGTCGTTAAGCTCCGACTCTTGGTTTCGGCTCAGATCATGATCTCAGGCTCGTGAGATGGAGACCAGTGTTGGGCTCTGAGCTCAGAGAGGGGTCTGCTTGAGATTCTCTCTCCCTCTCTGTCTGCCCCCCCAATAAATAAATCTTTAAAAAAAAAGGCTTTAAGGAGGACCATGGTATGATCATATTCCATTTAGAAGATCACCCTGGATCCAGCGAAGAGACCCATTTGAAGGAGGTGAGTTTGAGAACCACCAGAAAGAAATGACCACAGTCATCAAGGTACAAGATGGCGGGGCCTGACCTCGGGGTATCTGAGATGCAGATGGAACAAAGTGGATGGATTTGGAGGTAGACTCATCAGAGCTGGGTGCAGCCTGGGAGAGGGGGATAAGGGATGAAAGACGAGTCCTTGGCTTCTGAGTTGAGCACCTGGGAGGACAGGATGGTGGCACTTTCCACTCAGAGGAGGAGCAGAGGAAGGGCAGATTTGGAGGTGTGGGCAAGCGGGTGGGAAGAGCCTGACTTTGGGCATGCTGAGGCTCCCCCCTCCCCACACTGCAAGGTTTATTTCTCCCTCAGAACATGCATGTTCATTGTTGTCATCCCATTTGTGCTGCTGACAAAGCATCCACCAGTTTTCTTCTTTTTGTAATTAATGTTTCACAAAATTACAGTGGAGGGGCGTCTGGGTGGCTCAGTCACTTAAGAGTCCGACTCTTGATTTTGGCTCAGATCATGATCTCAGGGTCATGAGAGCGAGCCCCATGTCGGGCTCTGTGCTCAGTGTGGAGTCTGCTTGGGATTCTCCCTCTCCCTCTCCCTCTGCCCCTCCCCCTGCTCAAGCGTGCACTCTCTCTTTCAAATAAATAAGTAAATCTTTTAAAATAAATAAAAATAAAAATTACATTGGATATACTGAAATGTATAAATCTCAAGAATATAGTTCTATGAATTTGGACAAATGTATACACCCATGAACCCAAACCCCAGTCAAGAGAGGAAACGTTTCCATCACCCTCAGATAGTTCTCTGTGCCCCTTCCCAGCCAATCCTGCCTCCCACAAACACCATCTCTGTTCTGATTTCTATTCCCATAGGTCAGTTTCGTTTGTTCTTGAATTTCATTAAATGGAATCACAGAGTGACATAATAAGGAATATATATTTGGTCTCTGCTCTTGGTTCCTGATGCAAAGCTCCTAAAACTCCTGTAATTTCCTGATAGGAGCATCTTTTATTCTAATGAGGAAACCCTTGGTGGGCTCCTGGATGGGGGATGGTCACCCGACAGACCAAACCACGATTAGAAGCTTATTACTTTCAGCCCCATCCCAGGGCTGGAGATCTGAGTTAATAATCGATCATGCCTCCGTGATGAAACCTCCATAAAAATCCCTCAACTACGGAGTTTGGAGAGCTTCCAGAATGATGAATCCCAACCCTGTGGGGGACAGAAGCTCCTGCACTCCTTTCAGACCTTACCCTATGTACCTCCTCGTCTGGCTGTTCATCTGTACCCTTTATCATATCCCTTTTACACAATAAACCAGTTCATAGAAATAAGCGTGTCCCTGAGTTCTGTGGGCCGTTCTAGCAAATTATCAAATCTGAGGAGGAGGTATAGTGGGAACCCCTGATTGGTAGCAAGTCAGACAGAAGTGTGGGTGACCTGGGAACCCACCATTTGTGACTGGAGTCTAAACTGAGGGCAGCCTCGTTGGGACCCAGGCCTTAACCTGTGGGGTCTGCTCTAACTCCAGGTGTCATCTGTGAATTAAATTGTAGGACACCCAGTTGGTGTCCACAGAGGACTGGAGAATTTCTGGGTGTGGGAAACCCACACATTTGGTGAAGATTTGTGAAAGTCTGACAGGCTTCCCTTTATGGGAGAAGTAGTCTTTTGCATCTGGTTGCTTTTGCCCATCATCCTGTTCTTGAAACGCACCCGTGCTGTTGCATGAGTCAGTAGTTTGCCCCTTTGTCTTGCTGTTCATTGTTTACGTTTATCCATTCTCCTCTTTATGGGCATTTGTGTCCTTTCCACTTTGGGGCTATTAACAAAGCTGCTGTGAACACACACGGTCAAGCTGTTTCGTAGTAAGATATGTTGAGATCTGAGTGTCTCTGGGAGAGCCAAGTATCCATACCCAGAAAGCAATGGCCTCTGTGGGTTTGAGACTGAAATGGTATCTGAGCTGGAGACAGAAGTGTGGGGGGCTCACAGACATAGAGCCGGTGGTTAAAACGTGAGCTCCTCAGGGAGATCGTAAAGAAGCAAAGTGCCGAAGACAGAAGTTGTACTTCCTTTTTTGGGCCATATCTTTCCATCATCCCAAATCCTTACGTTCCAGCCCCCAAGTTTTTGCCCAGGCTGTCAAACACATTCCCGCTTTTCTCCCCGCCCTACCGTCTTCCCTGCCTTAGGACCACATTTCCCACCTTCTTTGAATCCTGACTCAGTACCCACCTGATCCACACACTGCACTCTCCAACCTGTGAGGATCCAAATCCTGATTGTCCCCTGGTCCCCAGCCCTAATCCTGGCCCTCAGGAGGACACCCCAGGTCCCAGTACAGCCTGCTGGTGAAGCATGAGTAAGGGGCTTCAACTTCCCAATTTCTCCATTTGGCCTTGCTTCGTGGAAATTTTTTTTCTGTCCTTCATGGAGCAGCAAGTAGCCACCAGCTTCCTCCCTCTGTCCTGTGAGTAAACTTCTCCCCTCTGACTTTGCTTCTTTTTTTCATAGGTATAGGCTATAGACCTATGATGTCTGGGCCCCCTTCAAAGCTATAGTGTTTGTGTCTCCCCATGTAGGTGATAATGTTTGTGTCTTCCCCTCCAAAATTTACATGCTAAAATCCTACCCCACAAGGGTGATGGCACTAGGAGATGGGACCTGTAGGAGGGGATTAGGTCATGAGGGTGGAGCCCCCATGGGTGGGATCAGTGCCCTCATAAGAGAGGCCCCAGAGAGGTCCCTCGGCCCCTCCACCAAGTGAGGACACAGTGAGAAAAGAGCCATCTAGGAACCCGGAAGGGGGCTCCCACCAGAACATGACCAGGCTGGGGCTTTGATCTTGGACTTCCCAAGTTTACCACAGTCCCCACCACACCCTACTGTCTGACACCAAGCTTTTCCCCCTCCTTGTTATCTGCCTGGCTCCTGAAAACATTTGGGTTTGTGACCCCGACACAGTGAACCTTTGAAGGACAAGAAGCCCATCCTGTGTCCCTCTGAAAGCCTCCTGATCCCCAGGAGCCCCAGGCCTAGCAGGTACTCCATCAAAGAGCAAACATTTTAAAATTGAGGCCCAAATTAAAATGATCCTTTATCAGGCTGGGTTGGATATGTCTTCAGAAACAGGAATACACTAATGGTTGCCTTTTTATGTCTGCAATTTAGAGCCCTAGAAGTCGGTGCTCAAAGAGAAAGCAAATAGACTACACTTCTGAGCAAGGAGCGCTGCCTCTTTCCAGACTGCACTGCAGTGGGGCAGAGGTGCCTCGGGACCCAGTCCCCGGGGCTACATTTCAGATGATTAGTGACGGCCCTGGCTTCAACTACAGACTCCTCTGCAATTAAGAGGGGCTCCTACAGGCACCCCAGTACCCAGCAGCAGGGGTGAGGCCTCAGGAGGCTTGGAGCCCCCACAGATCCCTCCCAATCCCCAACCGGCCCTTCCAAAGCCCAGAAGGAATATGGTCCGAGCTCTATTTATTCCAAGGGGGAAGCTGGTAATGACAACAATGGCCTGACACTTGAATGCTATGATGCGCCAGACGCTGTCCTAAATGCATTATCTCATTCGATCCTCACATAACCTTAGAAGCTAAGAAGCATTGTGCTTCCCCCATTTTACAGATGGGGAATCAAAGGCTCAGAGAGAGAAAGTAATTTGCCTACAGTCACCCAGCAAGAAAGTGGCAGAGCCGGATTCAAATCCGAGTAGCCTGAAGCTTGAACCACCGGAATGGAATAGGGCTTCACTTGCACAGATGAGACCAGGTGTCCGGCCAAGACCCCCTGGTGCTCTCCTCTCTACACCTGGGGCTCCTTACCACTCACACCTGCAGCTCCACCTGCAGGCTCACATTCTGGCTGCAGGAGCAAGCCGAGCCCACAAGGTGCTGGCCAGGGAACTCTCCCAAAAGCAGCCACCAGCCGGTTGAGCTGGTGGATGATACTGCAGTTTCATGCCCCCCCCCCAGTTGGCACCCCCCGGGCACACATCCAACTCCCAGAGTTCTCCGGCATGCTTAAACCCCAGCTGCCCACAGTGCTAACCTGCTTCATGATACACACCTCTTCCCCTCTCGGCAATGACGCTTCCTGGGATCACCTCCCAAAGAAACTACTTGCATTTGAATCCTTATGGCCTGTTGCTGGGGAAACTCAACCCAGGATAATGAGTAGCTAGCTCTGGGATGGTAAAAAGTTGCTTAACCTTGCTGGTTTATTCATCCATAAAAGAAAAAGAGGGATGCTAATAGTATCTACCACTCAGGGGTACTGCAAGGGTTAAATACACTAGTATTTCCGGAGCACTTAAAATAATAAATGGCCTAGAGGAAGCACTGTGTGATGTAAGAAACTTCTAAGACCGTCCGAAAACCCACTCTGAACCATCCAAAATGGAGTTTTCCCTTCACTGACCCAGAGACAAGCCCATGGTCAGGCAAAAGCCCGCCCCCCCCCCCGCCCCCCAGACCGAGCCAACTGGAACATTCTGAAATACACCACGGACAGCCACCGCACCAAGCTCACCCTGCCGTGAAATTCTATTACCCCAAGGCCAGCAGCTCGATTTTACCGTCACTCAGAATTTCTCCACATTAAGAGGCTTGAAAGTAATTTCTGAGTCATTCTGGGTGTTAATTGGTTATTGCACAGGGATTACATTTCTCACGTTCAAGGTCACCTGAAATTTCTCTGTGCATCTGAGAACAATTTTCAGTCTGTTGGGAACATTTTTTTTTTTTAATCAACAACTATGGTACGGAGCAATTATAATTCAGGCATAAACAAGCATTTGCGGGCTCTTGCTAGAAATAAACGGCTGCATTTTGTTGCGTGCAGATAAAACAGTCCTTTACTCCACGCCAATAACTGGCCCTGACAAATGCTATGTTCACGTAGGAACTGTTCTCTTTGGTGTCCTGAAATGTCACCCAGGCTGCCCTAGGATGGAAGAAATCATTTTGCAAACTGAGACGCCATTTTATACGAGAAAAGAGTGGCCTTGGTGGTTGGTTGGTTGGTTGGTTTATTTATTTATTTTTACCCACGACCGTGCATTTTTAACACAGCATCAAATGGGCACAGCTTCATCCAAAAGTTGAGGGAAAGAGATGGAAGGTGTTCTCTGGAAGGAGTAATCAACAGTGTCCAGTTCTTGGCTCCACTGCGTGGGATGTCCTTTTACCGGCTTATCGGGGCTTGAGCCAGCTCTATGGGAATAACCTTCCCTTACCAAGTTCACTGGAGAAATGACTGATAAGCTCAAGGCCAATGTGTTCATCCCACTTGTTTCCAGGAAGGGACAGCCCCCTGGGTCAGACCCATCACCACTGGCTTTTGTGGAGGACACACAAGGGTCAAAACTCAAGTGCTATTTCTGTCAAGTTGAGGGGAAAACGAATATAAATCTTGGGATATAGGCCAAAATCCTTGCTAAGGCCAGCACAGCCCTTCTACTACTTTGATGACAGCCTTACCTTGAACTCACCCTTTGCTCTCTCTCCTCTACCCACACTGGCCTTCTTTAAGTTTCACATAGTTGCTAAAGAAGTCCCTGCCACAGGGCCTTTGCACATGCTGTCCTCGCTGAATGGAATTTTCTTTTCCCCTCTCTACTCCATTAACTTGCACTGTTGTTGCCTCAATGACACTATCCCTGTCCTCCTGTCCCCCGCTCTTAGATGTTCTCAGAGTCAACACAGACCTCTCTTTTATAGAACTTTACCTGGTCATGAGTTTTTTTTTTTTTTAGTTGCCTGTTTGATTATTTGCTGAATAACAATGATAATAATCTATTTCATTTTAGCTATTTTATACAATTTTTTCGGAGTCAGCAGGCCATCACTGTTTATCTAGAATTGATGATTTCCCATCAGACTCAGTATATTGAGTTTGTACAAACAAAATAATGTGTTTTCCCTTATGAAACTACTTTAAAATCACTCCATACACATGTAATGAAAGAACTCAAACTCATTTTCCCCAAAACATTTTCTTTGTAAAACCGGGATGTGTTTGCGACTCTCACACAGCTGAAAATGGGGTCTATTGGCCCCCCAAAAGGGAAAGGGCTTAGCTGAGGTAGAAGCAGGGCCAGACTGTAGCCCAAGGTCAGGGCCAAGGACTCTTCTTCAGAAGATACACCCATGGGTATTTCATGAAGTCACCAGCACAAATGATTCCATTTGTTAACAGTACAATACCAACCCGCCAATATATCCGTATCCAGATTCTATCTCTCAGCAAGTCTGGTTGACTCAGCCTCCAAAATAGAGCACTCCTCTGTCCACTTCTTTCATTCACCATTACTACCATCCCAGTCCAAGCTACCATCAAAATGACCTGAGAAGGGGCACGCCTGGGTGGCTCAGTCAGTTAAGTGTCCAGGTCTTGATTTCGGTTTGGGTCATGATCTCAGGGTCATGGGATCAGACCTTGCATCAGGCTCCATGCTTGGCATGGAGTCTGCTCGCCCTCTCCCTCTGCTCCCCCCTCCCCCCCTTTCTATCTCTAAAATAAATAAATAAAATCTATAAAAAAATGACCTGAGAAGTGAAGGAGCACTTTCGAGTAAAAGTCTAAATCTAAATGAGGACAAGGAGGAAGGAATGACTTCACAAAGCAGGGTATGCTTGGTTGGGGTTTTGCAGGATGCATAGGAGTTTTCTGGGACTCAGAATAACATTGCAAAGGCACAGAGTCATGAAAAGCCTTGGTAGAAGGCCTTTCATAACCAGAGCCACAGCATATGAGGCAAACTCAACCATTTCCCACTGACGGAGAGACAGCTCACCTCAAATTTCTGCCGTAGTTCTTCATTGCCTTCACTTCCTTCCGGCGGCACAGGCACATTGAAGTACTCGCCTTCCTCCTGGCTTAGCAACTTAAACCTAAAGGGAGACAGGGAGACAGGACAAATTCCATGACCTGACTTGATATTATTTTGTCAGTTAGGATAAGGAAAGGAAGACTAGCTTTACCTTAAAAGCTCTACCTTGAAAGACAGCTTTATCTTTAAAAAATGTGTTGAGGGTTTTTTCTTTTGGGGGAGGTGTGCGCGTCCATGTTTGCAGCCAGGTATCCTACGTATTTTTGTAATTATTCCACAGTTTTCAGAAAAAAATGAATAATCTGTGTTTATGCAATGTTCTGGCTCTGGCTCTGTCTCATCTCCACACATACACACTTTTCTTAGTTCTCTCATTCAGTCATTCTGTATGTTTTTTACTACTTTTTGTCTGCTAAGTGCTTTCTTATTCTGAAAGAATGCTAGGAAGATCTCCCATGGTCGATGGATTCTTAGCACATTCTCATAGCATCCTGGCTCTCAGCAGCATTTGGATGACTATGACCTTGTCTCCCTGATGCTGTTTTCTCTGCAGAGGGCTTCCCAAAGTGCCCTGTATTAACCCCTTGAGAAGTGGCATCCCTTTGTTGGTTAACCCCAGCTTTGGAGTCAAACTCTGCCTGGGTCCAAATCTCACCTCTGCCCTTGCCTCTCTGGGTCACTGGATAAACTAGCTAGGCTCTCTGAGCCTCAATTTTTCTCATCCATAAATTGGAACAAGAGTTTTTTTCAGGGGCACCTGTCTGGCGCAGTCAGAGCATGCAACTCTTAATCTCAGGATTGTGAGTTCAAGCCCCATGTTGGGCATAGAGATTACTTAAAAAAAAAAAAAGTATTTTTCATAGGATTACTGTGGAGCTGAGATATGGTGACTCATGCAAAATGATAAGCACAGTGCCTGGCATTTAGCAAGTGATAAAAGAAATCATCATCACCATTATGGATATTGACATTATCCTAATAAACAAGATGGCTTTCAGTATGGTTTTGACCACAAAGATGCTTCCATCTACTCAAAGGGTAACCTGAGAGAGAGGAAGGAAAAGGTCATCTCAAAGACATCTGAGTCGCTAGAGGGAAAGAACATCCCAGAGCTCCTCACTCCCAAAGAAAGACTTCCTAACCCAAATTCACAATTTTCATAATGATTTTTTCCTCCATTCACAAAACTTCCTCAAGCAGCTCCTAAAAATAGGAGGAGAGGTGATTCAAAGCAGAGGTGATTTTTCGCACCCCTACATCTGTCTCCACATTTAATATTCAATTGTCCTCAGGGCACATTGGGTGGCTCAGTCGGTTAAGCATCTGCCTTCGGCTCAGGTCATGATCCCAGGGTCTTGGGATCGAGCCCCATGTCAGGTTCCCTGCTCAGCAGGAGTCTGCTTCTCCCTCTGCCCCTTCCCCACTCTCTGACATACTCTCTCTGTCTCTCAAATAAATAAATCTTTTAAAAAAGAGTAATTGTCCTCTTCCCAATATCCAAAAGAAATAAAAAAATAAGAGAACATCTGTATTTTTGTTGGCAAGCAAGTAGGGTGCTATCCACAGAGCAGCAATGTCTAGGAGCTCCCACAAATTAAATAATAGTAAGAGAACACGGAGCAGTGGTTGGCAAACATTATTTGCCTTTGTGGATTTTGCTAAATCTGGATAGTATGATCCACTTCATGGTTTTCATTCTATCGTCTCCTTTTTAGATAGCATACTCACTTTAACAATGAAGCCGACAGGTTACAAGTAGAAAGTAACTGTAAAAAAATAAACATATGCAAATCAAAGTGACCCAAGTCCAAGTTGACGGCGTTGCTTTCCAAAGGCTCTGAGACTAATGCCCGCCCCTCCTTGTTAAAACGGGAGCTCAGCCAGTGGCGCAAGTTGAAGAACATTACGGGGACAGCAACACCGGCTGAGACTTTCTCTCTGTGGTAATCTGAAGGTTTGAAGGAGCACTGGCCAGAGAACAGCTTGGCCAGGGTACAGTTCAGTATTACCAATGCCCCAACCATGTGCCATCTAAACTATGTACTGTCTAAGCCACTTTGGAAACTACAGATCAAGGGGGACTGACCAGCGGTGACCAGTCAATGGGACTCCTGACAGAATCCCATTAACAACCCTGGGCCAGACCACCAGGACTGGATGACAGCCACCCATTCTGATCCATATTCAGGAAGGATGGGACATGTCACGGTGCCCTCGCTATTGTCTGTGGGAGTCAGTATGCTGTCCCTATTACCCTGAATAGACTTCTGTCTGTTAGAAAAGAGAAGCAGGGACCCCTTTCAACTTTGACACGGGGAAAATGTCCCCCTATAGGGCAGTAGGGCTGACTGTTTGTTGTGTAGCTGTTTCCAGCTGTGGATCTCTCCAAAATGGCTCTAGGGAACAGGATCCCTGTTCTGACAAAGAAGAATTCCAAAAAATACAAAAGACTCTCCCTTCGTCTGATTTTGAAAAATTACAACTGGGACACTCATCATTCCTGTGCTCATCTGCCTATAAGGATGGGCAGACACAGAAGAATAACAGGATCTATGAAAAACTCAGTCAAATAAAGAGAAACAATGAGAAATCGGGTAAGTACCTCCCATGAAATAGTACTATTGCCAAAAGAGAGAAAATTCTAAAAACTATCTAGTTCATACTTTTAATGAGATTCAAGAAGCTAATGCTTCTTTGAAAAGGGAACAATCTGAGATTAGAAAAGGCTACTTTCAGAAGGAAAATGTAATTACTAAATTCAAAAATCCACTGGAGACAATGAACACTAAGATGGATAATTCAGATAACAATTAGGGAACTGGAAGACAACCCTGAGAAATTTTTCTGGCAGTTGAACCTGATATTTATTATATTGATTAGAGTTGAACTGAATGTTTTGTATACCATTAAGAAAAATGCATATTACCAAAATTAATATACAACATGAAAGGAGGGAATATAGCAACATGTATATCAGGAAAGACATAATATGATCCATCTTATGTAAAAAGTTCTTACAATTCAGTAAGAAAATGACAGGCAAAATCAGGACATAGTCATTTATAAATACAAACAAATGACAATATACAAATGAAAATATTCAACATAATTAGTAGCAAAATATGTAAGATAATGAAATTATGTAAATATGTATACTTAGTAACAAAATATGTATAATCTTTGCATTGTTTCTGAAATTTACAATACCAGATGTTGACAAGTGTGGGTGAAATGAAAAGTATCACACAGCACTGGTGAGAATGTAAATTGAAAAAAACTGCAGAACAGTTTGGCAAACATTTTAATAGTACATATGTTCTCAAAGTCGTTGATTCCAGGATTAGGAATTTCTTAGGAAATCATTAAAGCTATGCACAGAAGTTTTGCCGCAAGTATGTTTACTGTAGAATTATTTCTCTAGGTAAGCATTATACATCTTATAATAATATGATTCTGTAAGTTGAGGCAGATCTATAGAACGGGCCACAGGAAAATGATGTTGCCCAAGATTACTGAATTATAAGGAAATGTGTTCATAATGCAATGTTAGATGAAAAATGAGGGCTGCTACACAGTATGTACAGTAAAATTTCATTTTTTGTTTCATACACACACACGTGAGCACATACGTAATACACACAGAAAAAACCTCTTAATAATGTCAATAGTGATTATCCCTGGACAATGGGATTCGGGATAGTATTTTGCTTTCTTATTTATATTTTCTATTGTATAATTGTTAAATTGCTAAATCTGGATATTATGATCCACTTCATGGTTTCCATTATATTGTCTCCTTTTTAGATAGCATACTCACTTTAAAAAGTGATTAATAATAATCACTACCACTTACTGAGTGCTTACTATTAACCAGACACTGGGCGCTTCACTTATATTAACTACTTTAGTATTCTAACAATCCTAGGACATAATTACTGCTATTATCTCCAAATGAGAAAAGGAGTCAGAGAGGCAAAGTAACTTCCCCAGGGGTACACAGCTAGGAAATGGAGGAGCAGAGACTCTAACCCAGGAAGTCTGATTCCAAAGCCTTAGTTTTTTTGGGGGGGTGGGATTTGTAATAAGACCAAAATTACATTATTAGTAATAACAAAAGAAAGCTTAAAGAAACATAAATTTAAGTTAACAATTATACAATAGTTGTCTGTTCACAAGAAGACAAAGAAAAGAATGAAATAGGAAAGGAAAAAAAACCCTCAGAATCTGAAACATCATGATGGAAATGTGGCAATTACGACCATAAACATTAAAACGTTTCCTTAGGGAAAAGAAGAAAGACTTTTGGATTCAAGTCTGGTTGTTTGTTTGTTTTTTTTTCCAATCCATTAACACGCCACGTGTTATACCAAATCAAAGGACTGAGATTAAACATAAGAAAATGGGCAGGATCCACTAGGCAAGAAGTTATTTACCACTCTGCAACCAAAGGAGACATGTTGAAAGGTCAATCAGATGTCCTCATCTATTGGCTCCTCAACTTACTCTGGGCAGAAGATGAAGTTCCTAAAAGGCCCCTGTGGGATCTGCCGAGGCCCCCTCATCCTGCCAGTCCTTGCTCCCCACTGATACCCCTTTGGAGATCCAGCTCCAGCCACACAGGTCACTTCGCTGACCCTCAAACCTACTAGGCGCAATCCTGCCTCAGGGCCTTTGCTTTTGCTGTTCTCGCCATCTGGGACAATCTCTCCCTAGATTTCCACAAGTTCACTCCCTCACCTCCCTTCAGGTCTTTGCCATGTGTCACCTTTTTAGTGAGTCCTTTCCTGAGAATTATATTAAATAAATTGGAGTATCACCCTCCTCCCACCCCCAGCATTCCCTATATCCCTGTTTCTTATTTACTTTTCTCTATAACATTTATTTAAAAATTTTTTTAAGTAGGCTCCATGCCCAGTGTGGAGCCCAGTGAGGGGCTTGAACTCATGACCCTGAGATCAAGACCTGAACTGAGATCAAGAGTTGGATGCTTAACTGACTGAGCCATCCAGGTGCCCCTCTCTATAGCATTTATCAGCTTCAAACATGCTATTTTTTACTACT